AGTTTGTGTAATCCTCTATATTCACCGACAAAACAAAATAGTTAGTGGTCTATAAACGTATAAGAATGTGATTTGTCATTTGTTAGCGATACATAATTACATAGGATCTAGCTCGTCTCGATCTTATAAAAGCAAATCGAAAACCTTGGATTGGATGATGCATGTCCAAAGATCAAGACACGAAGTGTATTTCAATTTTCCATACACATATAATATGTTTGTTCAAATGTATCATTTAGATTTTAAATCAACATTTTTTTTTTTTGGTATGAATGTTAAGATCAACATTTTGAATATTAGGTTATGTATACACATAGAAGTCGACTTAGAATTTTGAATACGCGGCTTAGGTTGAAAAAGAGTACCTTTAATGGATCCACGATATATACGTCTACAACCTTTGAGACATATTTTATATAAGATGAAAAATATCAGTTAATCGAAACGTGAAATGTCATTAATACCACACTATAATCTCATTTTTTTAATTTGTTGAACATTATGCAATAGGAGAGATTTGAATTCGGATGATGATCCAACAACAACATTAATACAAATGTTTAGACCATAGATCATTGTCCACTTCAAATATATGTCTTGAAATAAATAAATTAATCAGTATAAAAAAAAAGAGCTAATAAGATCATGAGATATAATATAGTTTTTTAACAATACATTTTAATACTCTATAGTAAGATTTTTGGTTGGAATTTTTTTTGATACATTAACGTAAGAGGAGGGAATGCGATGATAGATTGTATGATTGGACTCTAAATAATAAAAATAAATGATGATTACAAACAAATGAAAGTTTTTTTTTTATAATAAAAAGCAAACAAATGAAAGTTTTGGTGAACAAAAAGAAAAATTCCAAGGAAACATGGAAATCTACTTACTTTGTTGGTTGTTGTTGCGTATGGGTCCCTTCTTTTTTACCTATAAGGAAAGAGAAACCCCAATGAATGTATACATTTCCTACCTTTATTTTGTCGATTATATAGATATATTTTGTGTCGACTATATTGAAAGTTCCATTCATTGTGATTCTGCATGTCAGAATCATAAATACTCCAAAACAACATCAAAAGTATTTTCTCGTTACTCCTAAAGAAAACATCTACGTAACTATATACACACAACAAGAAAATCCGTGATTCACTTTAATTGCACACACACACTCACTCACTTATCATATGCATTAGTAATAACAGTTTAGCAAAAAGTTTTTAACTAGTAGAATTTTCCAAACTCGTCCCGTTACCGGTATTTCCCGTCCGAAATGAACATTCTCGGACACTTTAATATCAAAAATTTGGATTTTAACTCCTGTCCATGGTTAACAGCACAATCAAAATCGGGTCATATGGGCCCAAAAAAATCAAACTTTGACTATATGGGCCAACAGATCAATGATTTAGCGGCCCGTTAAATAGGCGCGGAAACGAAGAGAGAGATTTTATAGTATGGATCGGGTCAACGGGTCGGGTCATCTAGATTTCGGATCTTTAACCCGAAGCTGCAAAGAGCGAAGAATCAAAATCAGAAGTTTCGAGATTGCACAGAAGAAATTGAAATCGAAAAGGGATTGAAGAAAATTTCGATTCGGAGAGCTGAAGAACGAAGCGAGCTTAGGGTTTTGATGTACACGAAACCAGAGAGAATCGAAGCTATTCATTGAAATTAGGGTTTAC